ATGGTATGGTTTTGTGAAAAGAATACATGCTTTGGAACCAGATAAGTCTACCATCTATTGTGTTTCTGAACAGATTATTAAACTCTCCTGTAGGAAACAAGTCCATATTTAGTATCTACTATAGGTATCTGATTATCTTTAAGAAGAAATAGTACTAGTATGCCAAAGTTGGGTACTAGTGTGCCAAAGTTTGTACTAGTGTGCCAAAGTTGGGTGAACGAACAAAAGCGGGTGTGAGAATGTCATGGAGAAATGATATATTTGGAGACTGTGTAAGATAACTTGTATATGCAAAACTCAGTAAATGTGAGGAACAGGTATACACACACACACACACACACACACACACACATACATTTTCACATACATACATAATAGCATATATAGCAGACAGAGCTAGAATATTCATGTAGTCCCTGGTCAGTCACCCATTCCAAGCTTTATCCAGGACTGCCACATCATGTGGGATTACAAATTGTGTTACATACACAAACTGTAACGTGATTGGAGCCCTCTGGAGTTGCACAGTATACAATCTGCACAGCTCTTTTTAGTAAAGCTACTGTATCCAGACAGTACTCACAAGGAAAAGTAGAATACAAAAGAGCATGAATTGAAGGTAGGAACAAAAGAAAAACAAGAATGGGGACATAAAATGAAATTCATACAAAAATGAAAACTTCGGCACAATAGGGCTTCAAATTTAGGTGTAAGCCTTTTGTGCCATAAAAATGGATCCATTGTTGGTCTTAAAACAGGCAAAAATATCTCCTGCAGGGCTTAGTAAAGAGGCCATTCTGTAAAGTGGTAGAAAACTTCATATTCTTGCAATAGACACCACAATAAGCTTGCTGGGAACATTTGTAGTAGAGCCCCCAATAAAGGCTGTGAATCACTTTCAAGTAAAGTTCAGTAAGAGTAATTTATGGATGGAAGGAAAAAGGTCAGTACAGTGCATTCCAGATAACCAGCTCTCTCTTTGTTGCTAGGACATGATCAATGGTACCATTTAGAATATTTAGAGAAACAAATAATTCATTTTAAACATTGTCTTTCTCAGCAAGGATTTGATAACTCGCTTTTTGGATGCATCCAAGATTGTACAGATGATTGTGCTTTGAAGGTCAATCATGCAAGGGAAGGTAAAGAATTCACTGCATAAATTGAAAAGAGAAGGAAAAAGATTAATTAAGAGTACATAGAAATAGCATACTCTATAATGGGCTAGATACTCTGCCAACTTCTGGGGCTATAAAGATGATTAACACCTGCCCTCAAGCTGTTGGTAATCTAGGCATGGGGTAAGTGTGTGTGCAGATAGTCAGATTAGCATATATTATTACTACTAAGAATATTGTAATAGTAACATTAATAGTTAACATTATTGAGTGCTTACTAGGAGCCAGATACTTTTCCAAGTTCTTTTTTATGTATTAATACATAAAATAATTTTCACTCTTATGAGATAGTCATGTATTAGTGTTTCTCCATTTTGATGGATGAAGAAATGAAGTCTCAGTTGGGTAACTTGCCTGGAGATACATAGCTCATAAGTTGTGGCATGTGGCTGCAAACCTAGTCAGTCAGGCTTCTTAAGCCGATGCAATTTAGAATGATTAATGCTTTAATAACTGTAAGAAATGAGAATGTTTCCTAAAATAAAGAAGGTTCTAGTCTAAACACATTTTCTCATGTAGAATTATTTCCATATATATATAACTACGTGCTATCAATGGAAAGAGCATCACATTCAAATGCTGAGTAAGGGATTAAAACTCCAAATATTTGTTCTCATTAAGCAAATTTCCAGCTGGGTTTTATTTGGGAAACATGAGGTTAGATAACCTGTGTAGACTTTTTCTGAGATATCCTTTTATCTCTGTCAACATTATTAGGAAACACTTTATTCCTTGACAACTTTAAAACTTGACTAAAAATAAATTCTAGCAAAACCTTTGTGGCTGAGCAAATACCAGAGGATGTTCTAGGGCCACCTCTGCCTGGGCTTCTTGCTCTTTGCAGATGCTTTGATATTCATAAAACTACTGAATGGCAAACACATGCTAGCCTAGATTTTTTTTTCTGTAAAACATTTTGAGGAATGTCTGCACACATAGATTTTTAACAAAATTATTTAGTTTAGATATTACAAATATAAAATGCTTAGCCCCTTTTCCCCCTAGCCGGTCTTGATTTCAGAGTTCAATTGGTCTTAGAGAAGTAGATGAGCAATGAAGACTCTAGGTAAAACTTCTGAGGAAGGAAAGAAAAGAAAAAGGATAATGTGGACTCTATTCCATGCTCTGTTTATTTATCTTCCTTCAGTTGCCCAGAAGAATACTTAACTATGGTACTTGGCTGGAAAATACTGTACAAACAAGCCCATACTAATATACTAGCCTAACTGAATGTTTCTTCGGAGTAAAAACCAGATTATAATGTCAAATATTTGTGCAAAATTTATAGTTTTAAAGGTTTTTTTTTTTTTAAATAAATCCCTATATTTTCTTATGCAATGACCGCATCACTTTGGTGAGGTAGATCTTTTTCTCTCTCTCCTTCAAGGTCTTTATTGCCACCAGGCACAAGTGGCCATGAGAGGTGGTGACCATAAAGGGGTGAGTGAGGTTCCCCACTGAGGTGGGCCCTGATGGTGGCTGTCTGCCCAGGCCAGACCTTGCTAGGCATGCTGAGGGGCAGGCCTGGGGTCCAGCAGTGGTGGGGGTGGCAGGAGGGTCACCAGCTCAGGATGCCAGGGCAGTACTTGTCAAGGAACCCCTGGTAGTAGGGCCGAAGCTTCTCCACGTCTGGCAGGCCAGGCCACTTGGTCAAATTGAATTCCGGCATGGCCAGCTCCTGCTTGCTACACCACGGCTGGTAGTCAAAGCCCATGTGCCAGGGGCAGAAGGAGTGGAATCGGATTTTGTAGGAAGCCTCCAGTGGCAGTGAGAACTTGTTGAACACCATCACCTGGTACAAGTACTCATCATGGCCCTAGGACATGAGGAAATTGAGGATCCCACAGTGGGGCTAGCACATGCCCAGTTCTGTGCTGTATGGAGGATCCTGGAAGTTGGTATTGTCCAGGAAAGTGGAGTCCCAAAACCACGGAGGCTTGGGGATGGCATCCAATGGGAAAGGCGTCTCCAACGATTGCTCACCGGGGCTCCCCCATTAGGGCCAGGACCTTCCCCGGGTCATAGAGGCCCAACAAGCTGGCACCAGTCTTTGCCTGGGTGGGCCTTCCGGATGCCCTCCCCCATCTGGAAGGCTTGGAAGGAGTGGGGGAAGTCTACATCAGGGTCCCATTCATCCACCAGTCCATGCAGCAGGCCCACGGCCACCATGACCGTCATTTTCTTGTAGGAAAAGTCCCCAAACTGGGCCTGCTTGCTCCTGACGAAATCCACCATCTGGTGCACGTGCATGAGCTTGTAGGTGGTAAAGACATGGTCCAGGAGGGGACCCGACACATAGTTCAGGAAGCCAGCCTTGTTCCTGGCAGTGTATTAGTCCACTTCGGGTCAGTAGACCAGGAAAGGGTCTGGGTCCACTGTCACTTTCATTCTGAAAGGGATGCAAATCACTGGGCAGCACGTGTGTCCCTGGCCAAGACCCCTGCTGAGAGATGTCTGGAGGCCCAGCCTCCTGCTTGCGCCTGGCTTTAGACAGCTTTGATGGTGAGGGAGGATCTTAACCTTAAATACTTACAGACATGGGAACTGAGGTGCAGAATCAGTTAAGTGAATTGTTCAAGAACAAATGCTTAAGTATTTCACAATGAAATTAAAATCTAAGACAAGACGACTTCAAGTTAAGGGTTTTTTTTTTTTCTTTTTGAGATGAAGTTTTGCTCTTGTTGCCCAGACTGGAGTGTGATGGCACGATCTGAGCTCACTGCAACCTCTGCCTCCCGGGTTCAAGCAATTCTCCTGCCTCAGCCTCCCGAGTTGCTGGGATTACAGGCATGTGCCACTACACCTGGCCATTTTTTTTGTATTTTTAGTAGAGATGGGTTTTCACCATGTTGGACAGGCTGGTTTCAAACTCCTAACCTCAGGTTATCCACCCACCTTGGCCTCCCAAAGTGCTGGGAGGGGGTCTTTTCTTTAACCATAACTCTAGTGATGCCAGTGAAGTTATTGCTGCTGTTTTGATGATACAAATTTGCCCATGGAGATTAGAAAAAATAAGGGAGGAAGCCAAACAGGCTGATGTGATACGATATGTCCAGGTATGACTCTCAGAATCTTTACTTCCTCTCTGCTGTTCCAAATGGTGGCAAAAAGCCTTGATTTAGCACGGGATAAAGTTACTTTAGGGTGAGTCCTGAGGATATTTGAAAGAATATTTAAGCAATGACACTGATTGTATATTTGTTTAGTGGGATATTGTGGGACTTAGATGAGGTATGCTTTTTAAGCTAAGCAAAAAAATGCTATACAATCAAAGAGATCATATTCAAAAGGATGTAGTGGAAATAAATATGTGTATTCTTAACACAGGTAGTGTTCACAGCTTTGAGACAGGAAAAAAAATGAAAATGAAGTTTCCTCTTTCAATATTAATCAATTTTTGTCTCTGCTCATACTTTCAATCTCCTATTGGATCTACTATTTCTGCATTTTAGGAAAGGGGGAAAAAGGAATAACTGAGTTATTCTGATGAAGAGTAAGAATATGGAGTTAAAATAGTCCAAAAACCTAAGAGTCCCTCTGGTACCCCGATTAAATAAAAAAAGGGAGAATTCAGAAGAACTAGACAATAACGATTTAAAGGTTTAACAAACTTTTTTTTCCTTCACCTTTCCTCCTTGTATTTTTTATTTTTTTAAATTTTACTTCAGGTGTATACTATATCCAGCATTTCTCCCCATGTTACCCCTCCCTACCCTTTACTCCCTCCCCACCCCAATCTGTCCCTCCCCTACCCCCCCAACTGCCCCCAGTGTGTGATGCTCCTCTCCCTGAGTCCATGTGTTCTCATTGTTCAACACCCACCTATGAGTGAGAACATGAGGCATTTGGTTTTCTGTTCTTGCGTCAGTTTGCTGAAAATGATGGCTTCCAGATTCATCCAAGTCCCTACAAAGGACACAAATTCATCATTTTTTATGGCTGCATAGTATTCCATGGTGTATATGTGCCACATTTTCTTTGTCCAGTCTATCACTGATGGGCATTTGGGTTGGTTCCAAGTCTTTGCTATTGTACACGGGGCTGCAGTGAACATAGGTGTGCATGTGTCTTTATAGTAGAATGATTTATAGTTCTTTGGGTATATACCCAGTAATGGGATTGCTGGGTCAAATGGTATTTCTATTTCTAGATCCCTGAGAAATCACCACACTGTCTTCCACAATAGTTGAACTAATTTACACTCCCACCAACTGTGTAAAAGTGTTCCTATTTCTCCACATCCTCTCCAGCATCAGTTGTGTCCAGATTTTTTAATGATTGCCATTCTAAATGGCGTGAGATGGTATCTCAATGTGGTTTTGATTTGCATTTCTCTAATGACCAGTGATGATGAGCATTTTTTCATATGTTTGTTGGCCTCGTATATGTCTTCTTTCGTAAAGTGTCTGTTCATATCCTTTGCCCACTTTTTTTTTCTTGTATATCTGTTTTAGTTCTTTGCTAGATTCTGGATATTAGCCCTTTGTCAGATGGGTAGATTGCAAAAATTTTTTCCCATTCTGTTGGTTGCCAGTTCATTCTAATGATGGTTTCTTTTGCTGTACAGAAGCTCTGAATTTTAATTAGATCCCATTTGTCTATGTTGGCTTTTGTAAACAAACTTTTAATATGATTCGCCAAAATCTTTGGCCATTTCACATTGATATAAAGTAATACCAAAAAGAAATTCTCAGATTAGTGATTTGACTAATGGAATAGGTGAAAAGACATAATTTAATTGTTTTCAATGAAAACAAGACATCTAAAACATATGAGAATATATATCAGTGCCTGAATTCTACTTAATAACTTGTTATATATGATGAAAAAAGGATGGTGAACAACAAAAGAAATTCAGAAGGTAAATAATCACATTTATGAAAATAAATAGGCCCATATGAAATTAATTCATTTGGCATATATTTATGGAGAAACTATTATTTCCAGGTACGATTTAGAGAACTGCAAATTAAAACAACCTATTAAAATGCAAAAGCAATGAGAATAATAAAGTAATATCAGTAATACTGAAAAAAATAGCTACATCTTTTGGTTGTAATATAAATTGGTTCAATTTTTTTCCTGGAAAATAAAAAATATTACAAGTGTTATAGAAATACTTCTATTTTTTTGGCCTTTTTATTCTGAATTTTGGGAATTAAATCTCAAATAAGTAACTTAAAAGAAAAACAAAGTAATTTTCCAAAGATAAATATAGCCATGTTATTCTTAAAATGAAAACTGACAAAAGGGCACAAGGCTGAATATGCATATTCATGACAAAAATGAATTTGTACATTCACAAAGATAGAAAGATAATTACATTCACTTATTTATTCAATGACTATTTATTAGGCAATTATAGGCTAGTCATTGTCTTAAGGGCTGGGGATGAAGTATAGAACAAGCCACACATGGTGTCTACCAGGACCCCTGGGAGCCTGTGTAAAGTGTCTTCATGAAAACTATAAAAGTGTGGCCTTTCTGAGCATGTGCAGTCCTGTGTTTGGCTAGAAGAATGCCTTCTTTAAGAAAACGAAAGGTAACTGTGCAGGAGAGGGAATACAACAGCCAGGGTTCATGGCTCAGAAGTGGAATGTGAACTGGGTTCCTGTTCTCCCAGTCCCTCATTGGACATCCTGGTGCAGAGAACAGTTGGCACAGCCATAGATGGTGGTTCTGGTGCTTGCAATTTAAAAAGGAAGAAAAACATTGAAGAAATAAATGCACTAATGCATGTATAGTTACAAAGATAAGTGCTCCAAAGGAAAGGAACATTGTTGGATAAAAATGTACAGCAAGGAGACCTGGGAGCCCCCTATAGCAGGAAATCCAGGAAGGCCTGAAAGAAGCGAGATCTTGGTAAAAGGGTAGGGAAAGCATCCAGGCAGAGGTAACAGAATGTGCAAAAAACTCTCTGTGACTGAATAGAGTGTGGTGCATTCAAGCAATGGGTATCTGGATTAAAAAGAGCAAGGACTGCTGGGTGCAGTGGCTCATACCTGTAATCCTAGCACTTTGGGAGGCTGGGGTGGGTGGATCACCTGAGTTCAAGACTAGCCTGGCCAACATGGTGAAATCCCATCTCTACAAAAATACAAAAGTTAGCCAGGCATGACTGCAGGTGCCTTTAATCCCAGCTACGCAGTAGGCTGAGGTGGGAGAATCGCTTGAATCTGGGAAGTGGAGGTTGCAGTGAGCCAAGATGGTGCCACTGAACTCCAGCCTGGGTGACAGAGTGAGACTCCATCTCAAATAAATAAATTAAATTAAATAAAGAGAGCAAGGAGGGTCAGGTGCAACCAGAAGAAGAGAGGTAGGCAGGGGCTAGACTCTACAGGATCTCATAGGTCAGGAAAATAACTTTGTTCTTATTCCTAAAAATGGCATGAAAGCATTAAATGGTTTTAAGTGGGAGGGCAGTGATATGATCAGATCTGTTTCGAAAAGGTCCCGCTGGCTGGAGAGTGGAGACTGATTGTGGAGAATATGGTTATTGGATTGAGTGACTGGGAGTAAGCCACTATAGCTGTCCAACAAGAGATGGCTGAACCAAAGTCGTGGCAGTGGAGAATGTAAGATGCAAATGATTTGGGACATCCTTAGATGGTAAGATGGACAGGTCTTGGAGGTAGAGTGGCTGTGTAGGGTGAAATAGAGTGTCAAACATGCTTTTGTTTATCCCCAGTAAAAATTTAAAAGTGAACAATTTAAATAATTTTGTATTGTATTAGTTTCCCAGGGCTGCTATAACAAGTTATCACAAAACAAGTGACCTACAACCACAAAAAATGTACTATCTCACAGTTTTGGAGGCCAGAAGTCCAAAATCAAAATATCAGCAGGGCTCTGTTTTCCTCTAAAGACTCTAGTGGAAAATCTTTTCTTGCTTCTTCCAGCTTCTGGGGCTGCCAGGCATTTCTTGGCTACATTACACCAGTTTCTGCCTTCAGTTTTCACATGGCTTTCTCCTCTTAGGTCTTTTATAGGGACACATAAAAAGTGTCCTTAGAAAAAAGAACCCTCTTTGTCATTGGACTTGGGGCCCTTCAAGATAATCCAGGATGATCTCATCTTGGGATCCTTCATTTAATTACATCTGCAAAGACCCCCCCTCCCTTTTGTTTAAGTCAGGTCACATACACAAGTTCCTAGAGTTAGGATGTGGACTTATCTTTGAGGGAGACACCATTCAACGCACTACAGGCATCATGTCAATTATCCTTTACATGCCCCATAGTAGGGGCTTCTAGGACTGTGCTGTGTGCACATATCATTTGAAAACCACAGAAGGTTCAGCTTTAGGTTTCCAAATAACCTCTAGTAACTGCCAGATCCAAAGGATGCACTGGTCCTTGCGAAGACTTTGTTCCCCATATTATCTTGTACACACTGTCTTCCTGGGACACAATCCATACATTTAATCACTAGGTATTGAAGTCTCTTGTAAGGCCCTTGAGGAGAGTGATTGTTTCTTGTTCTCCTCTGTACCCGCATGACTGGCACTGTACCTGGCAAAGAAGGAATACATGGCCTCTCCTTTCACTCTATGCTGGTGCCGTAAGGGGATGCAATATCATTTTCTTTTGTTTCTATCAAATCACAATTAAGAACTTAATTAATTTAAAATTGCTGAAGAGCTGCTGCAACTTATTTTTGAATGGAGGCATGATGTAAGTAAAAATCACCACTTAGTATATAGTGTTTATGTAGCTGCTGGTGATATGAAAATGGATGAATTCTTAAATTTTAATAGCTTAGTTTTTGGAGAGACCTGTCTGAATAAATCAATTATAAATCAGTAGTAATTACTGTAGTAAAGGCATAAATAAAATGCTATGGAAGCATAGAATAAAGAGCAACTAGTTGTTTTAGGGGTTAAAGATGGCTTCGAAAATATGGCATTTGAAGGATAAATGAAAATTTTCCAGGGGGAGGATATTCCAAAGAGATGAAACCAATAGAAAATCCTATTGAAACCATAATGGCAACATAAGAATAAAAATTCAGATATGTTTTAAGAAAAATGACATTTCAACAGATGCAGAATGCAGACAGGAAGTGGTCAAATACATTCGGTGAACAAGACTTGGGACTAAATGTACGTGTAAGGAAAATGATGGAGTCGGAACCACCACAAGGCCACCCCTAAGCAGACCCTGGGTCTCTCTTTTAGAAATGGGGGCATCTGCACTCTTCACATGTTAATTGGAAATGTGGTCTGGGTTTTCTCTGTCACAGGCTGTAAATCTATATTTCAGTCAGGGTTTTGCACTTTTGGATTAATATATAATGTCCTTGAAAGCCCTTAATTTTTTTCTTTATTTTTTTCCTGAGGAAAAAGAACTCTTTTTTAAAGGCTACATGATAGTGCTGGATTTAGCTCATTTTAACAAAGGTCACAGCATTTTTGAGTAGTAAACACTATTACCAGATCTTTCCAGTATCTGGATGTTTGGCAGGCATGCCTCCAGCTCTGGAATAAATGACTGGAGCTTCAGGGGCGTATGACAGCTGTGGGCCTGTGAAGCCTGTGGGTATCTGGAAAGAGGCAGATGCATCCTGTTTCCCCATAACCACAGCCAAAAAGAGAATCAAGGCAAAAAGCTCCCTTTTACTTGAATCAACCAAACTACTGAGCAAGTTTAAAGCTTGTCTGTTCTACTGGTTTCAATTTGGCCTTAGAAACCAGATGAGTAATAGGAGATTTATTTGAGAAGCTCCTGTCAGGAATCTAGGATTACTTTTAGTTGCAACTCAGCAATACTGGATTCAATTCCTAGAGTATTTCCTCCTGTGATGATAATATCAGCAATTAACATACTTGTATTTATAAAGCTTATTCTTCAGGGAGTACCCAACCCTTGGGAAAGGTCAGCTAATTAATTTCTGCAGTGTTTCAGATTAAACTATTGCATGTTTTATGACCTTGAAGATTATAGTGATTATTAAGTCCCAAAATATTAAATCACTTTTGCAAGGACTCCCAGGAAGGAAATGATAGAAAACAGGCAAAGAACTCAGGTCTTGTACATTCTGAGAAGTGTTTCCACCACTGCCCAAGAGCAAGATTCTCAGAGGATCACCTTAACAACAATCAGTTGTTAAAAAAGGAGAAAAAATTTAAAAGAGAAGCCACTTTACCAACAGAGAAATAACATGCTTCAACATTCCAAAGAAACCCTAAGGATGCTAATATGAGGTCATCTGAAATTATCCATATTTCTGGAACACGAAGATAAGTGCTTAGCAACTATGAAATTAGAGGTTGGAAATTTATTCTGTGATGTGGTATAAAGATCACTGGACCCCGATCCGTGGAGACCCAGGTTTGAATGTTGTTCCTCTAATTCATTAGCTATGGTGTCCTGTGCAAGATACAGTACTTGGTACCTTGGGATAGCAATTTTCTCAGTTATGAAATGAATATATGGATAACTGCCTGACCGGGTACTCTTCTATTCATCGTAAGAGCCAATATCCTAGTTCTAGACACCGTTATCTTTCACTCAAGCCATCACGGTTGACTTCCAATTGGTCTCTAGTCATTCTTGCTGCTCTACTGTGTCTTTTCCACATAACTGTTGAAGTCGTCTTTTAAAATAATAATTCAGAGTGTGTCATTCTTTTGCCTAAAACCCTCTACTGGCATTCATTCGTATTTCGAAAAAGACATAAATTTCTATCAAGGCTTGAAAGACCATGTGTTATCTGGGCCTTGCTCACCTGTTTAGCCTTCTCTCCCCTCAGCGTTCTCATTCACTGTACTCCAGCCACACTGACCTTTCTGCCCCTTGACCAGACAAACTTGCTTTACCTCTAGACCTTCGCCTAATCAGAGAGGCTCTTCCCCAATTCTGAATGGCTGATCCCTTACTCTTTCAAATCTCAGGTCAAATACTATCTCTCCAGAGAGGTCATTCCTGACCACTGCATCTAAGTAGGGTCCAGTTACTTTCTAACCATTTTTTTCTTCATGGTAGTTATTACAATGTGAATTCATCTTGTCTAGTTAATTAACTCTTTATTATCAGTTTTTCCCGACTAGACTTGTAAGCTCTGTGAGGGGCTATATCTTGTCTACTATTTTTATATAGTTTATTCCCAGAGTTAAAAGCAGTACCTAGCATGTGCTAGGCTCTCAATGAATACATTTTGGTTGAATAATGAATAAATGTAAATGTGATAATGCATACAGAAGTGTTTAGCCCACAAGATGCTTAAATTTGCAATCTATATTTTTACTCTTGGGGACTTCCTCATTCTAGGATAAACTTTTCCAGGCCAATAGGAAATAATGGTAAAAATAGTTAATATTTATTGAGCTCTTAATAGATCTTGGGAAGTGTTCTAAGTGGTTTTAATGAATTAATTCATTCACAAACCCTTTAAGACATGTTCTATTATTATCCTAATTATTACGGTGAGGAAACTGAGAAACAGAGGGGCAAGTAACAGAGGAAAAAGGCTAGTAGTGGTGAAACTGGAGTTCCGACTCAGGAAAGTTGGTCCCACAGCTGTGATCACATCACTGGCCTACTCAAGACCCCGTTGTTAGCAAGGCATTCAAGTCTTCCAGCAATCTGTGAACAATCAACCCTCCAAACCCCTTCTCTTATTAATTCATTCAGCTGCACATCCATTCAGCATATACTGGGTACCTGCTTTATACCAGGCACTGCTCTAGGTCCTGGACTAAAGCGCTTAATGACCCAGTTCTTTTCCTCAGGTCTTTTCGGTGAAGGGATGAATAGAAACATGAAAATCCTTATTTTACCAATGCTTTCAGCACAATCAAACCTTTGATAAATCTGAGCAGGGACTTTACCTATATTACTATCTAAGACTTTTCTTTTATGACTAATGATGGACTTCAGTATTATGAAGTGTCTTTCAGATACCTGATTTCTCCAAACACTGACCCAGCCTTCAGCGTAACCAGAACTTTAGTACCATCAGGGCCTCCAAGGACCTGGACTTCTCCATGCTTGATGATATACATCTCCTTGCCAATTTCGCCCTACATGTCAAATATAAAGAGGAAATGGTAGTTACTTTATTCTTGACAATTATGCTGTAAATTAAGAAACATAAACTTCTTTAGAGAAGTAACTATAAATGAAGGAAGCCAAGAACATTAATGTAAAAGTAACTATCTTAAGACCTGAAGTATTTTCTGACATTGGTCGGACATATCATGTGAAAGGAAATGATTAGGAAGATGATACTTATCAATATGTGAGTACTGTTTGCCTCCCCTGGATACAGGAAAATATTTTGCTTTAGGAAGGACCCTGGGTAGAGGAAGTAATTGGTTGTAAGCATTGTCGAGCCTGGCTTTGACTGGAAGAAGTTGCTTGGTCTAGCCAAAGAGCATAGACTACAGCCTTTCAAAGGTCAGTTCTACACTTCTACCCATGGCATTGAGGTCTGACCTGAGGAATTGGGGCATAGGAGATCTTTGAGCTATTATTAGTATTCCATATTGAGATAAAGTGTTAATGCAGCAGGCTGTTTTACTGTTCTTGCCTATCTTTGGGGACCCTTGGGACCAGGGCAAGGATCTTTGTTCAAACCCTAAGAATTAAACTCCTGGAATGTTCACATTGCCACTGGTTAATGGTGTTATTCTATATTCCTGAGCCAGTGTAGCGGGATGCACCAGGCTGTCGACACTACTTAATATTAACACAAAGATTTATGATGTGAACCTCGTAAATAGTTTGAAGTCCGAATCATGTCTGGTCATGCAGCTATATGCCCCATTTAAGGACACCTGACCCAAGTCTACCATGGAGCTTCCCCAGTGGAGATGTTTTGCTCATGTTTCTATCATCCACTGGAGAGAAAAATGCATCCATGTGACCCTCATAGAAATAGGACCTAGTAGCCTGTGTCTGATTTCTCTATTCTTTGCTCGTGCATATCTTTTTCTTGCTATTCCTGCATTTTATCCTTTGCTGTAATAAATCTGAAGCCATAAATATAACTTTATGTTGAATTGTATGAGTTCTTACAAGTAAATCACCAAACTAGTGAGTGGTTATGAGACCCTTGGAACATAGCTTCTCACTCTAACTTCCAAAATGGATAAATGTCTTACAAGAGATCTAAATGGCACTTAGGTCAAGAAGAGTTGTTAAACTCTAAATAGGCCAGATTGCATAACACTAGGCAAACTATTAGGATAGTAGTACCTACATGTCTGAATGAGTTGTGCCTTTATTACCTAGAGCTATAAAAAAAACAGCATTAATATAATAAATTCACTTACTCGGCTTGGGAGAGAACTGGGTTATTTGAGTTAATCAAATATTCTCATTAACCATACTTTGAAAGAATTAGAATACAGTAAAATCAACTCAAGATTAAGAAATTTTTAAATATTTTTATTGTTAAAAATATTTAGCCTATATCATGCTTTGAAGAAAAAAATAATGATTGTAGTTTACTCACTGAGATGGCTGAGAAAATGTCTACTTTGTTCCAGTGCTGAGCACAGGTTTGGCATATAGGAGACACTCATTTAGGAATGAGGAAAATATAATTTAGCTATTCCCTGGGAGATTTTAAAATCCTTCAATACCTAGGTTTATTTTCCTGAACATCAGCTATTATTGCTTTATAATTGCCAGGTTGTGTTTAAAGTTAACAGACTCTACCTTTTAGTTAATATCCAGGAAGTTGAAATTCTCATTTTATCTCCCCATTACTCTTATAAGGAAGGTAGAGTAAGTGCTATTACTTCCTTTTTACAGAAATTAAAACAAAGGCACAGATTGGCTTAGCCAATTAGATAAAGTTGTATGACTCAGTAATTAGAAGAAAAGGAAGCCTAGAACCCACAACTCCTAATTGAGCAAAGCAGGAAATACGTTTGTGTTTTGCATTATGCAAAACGCTTTTTTAAATTAAGAATTTTTTTTTTTTTTGTGAGACTGAGTTATGCTCTGTTGCCCAGGCTAGGTGCAGTGGCATGATCTTGGCTCACTGCAATCTCTGCCTCCTGGGCTCAAGTGATCTTCCCACCCCAGCCTCCTTAGTAGCTGGGACCACAGGCATAAGTCACTATGCCTGGCTAATTTTAGTATTTTTTTTGGAGAGACAGAGTTTTGCCATGTTGTCTATGCTTGTCTCAAACTCCTGGACTCCTGTGCTCCTGCCGCCTTGACCTCCCAAAGTGTTAGAATTACAGGTGTGAGCCACTGCACCTGGCCTGTGCAAAATATTAAGCATATATTTATACTCAAAAAGAGATCAAAGTAGAAATTCCAATATAGATGGATCTTATTATAGTTATTTACATACTATTAATGCTAATAACAATATCTTGTCTTTGCATATTACTTTAAATATTGTTACATTATCTGACATTTACATAGCTCCTTAATTCCTGTATTTGTTCTAGCAGAACATGCTACTTTATAGCTGCAAACATTTCATAGATAGGAATTCATCTAATTCTTGCAAAAATCCCAGTGAGGTCAAGTAGGAAAGCTGTCATTACTCTTATTTAAAAATTAGTAGTGGAAGCTTAAAAAATTAACTGTCTTGAGGAAACTTATAAGGCCTGCAGGCGACAGCACTAGAGTAGCAGCACCTATGTCATCTGACTCTATATAACACATGAAGACAGACCATATTTAACGGTGACTCCAGTATCAGTACTGATCTCTTAAAACCAATACAATAGCCATGAATGATTTTAAAAATAAGGCAAGATGTCTGAAAATTAGTTTTCCAAGAGATGCTTTAGGAAGTAATGAAGAGGACAGGATCATATTCCTTATTCCTTGCATGAGGTAGTTCTCAAGGAACTGGAATGATTTTTCAAAGGCAGTTATTACAACCGACTGGAGGTAGAAGTACAAGTGGGTACTTAAATATAGTTTGGCTCTTTTAATTATTTTTTAATGATCATTTCAATAATTTTCCAAGGAGATCTGGCATAATCAATGAACCAAAGCTTCCACTATTTCTTACATATTTCTAGCCTAATTTAAGCCTTTTCTGCAAGTTTAATTAGCATTCAAATGAAGTAGACATTCCTCAGAGAATAAGGGCTGACAGCATGTGCAAAATAAGATTGAACCAAGCCCTGGTTGTTAGTGTGTGGACTAATTTGGAGAAAGTATGAAAAAGCAAGAGCTTCGTGTAGACTGAAGTAACCCCTGGAGACAGTGCACTTCAAAATGTCAGGGTTCCTGTGTAGGAAGCTGTTTCCGAGACTTCTGGGGACTTTATGACACACAAGCACACCCCGTCAGAAAAGCGCAGTGCTACTCAAAGTGTGGTTCCTGGGTCAGCACCATCCGCATCACTAAGTGCTTGTTTAGAGGTGCAAATTCTCAGTTCACTGAGAATTCTCACTGCAGAAATATGAAGCAAAATTCTGGGGAATGAGGTCCCAGAAATCGGTGCTTTAACAAGAGCTCTAGGTAATTCCTGCTCTGCCATAGAGCATCTGGAGAAAACTCCCACTCCTTCAACCAGCCCAAGGTGCTATTCAGTCAATGTCTAAACCATCCTGGGGATGAGATAGGTCAGCAAACTTGGCCCCAAATGCTGTCATCCCTTAAATGATATAAATAACCTCAAATTAAACATATCTTTTTCCTTCCCCTTGCCTTCAATGTTTTGTGAAAATGATAAGCAAAACAAAGCTGAATTCATCTGTCTAAAGTCCTGTCAAGTAACAGCCTTCCTTTTCTGTCAGTATCTACTTTCATGTAAATCCCCCTCTTAAATGTGACTTGTCCTTCTAGTGTCTCCTCGTTTCTACTTTCCCACCTACGTTTTCCTTTTCTTGCCTCATTTGTCTCCACTGATGTTTTTGTTATTGAGTGATGAGTGTGATGTGAAGAAGAAATTAGAAATGAGAAGGCTGCATCTGCTCTGCTTTTCATACTTTGTTAAACAAATTTGCACTGCTTAGGGGCACAGGTGCTAAAGTTCATGTGAATTATTACAGTTTTCAATCTCTTCTGCTACTGGCACCAAATGAAAGGACATTTTGGCACATTAAAGTCATGTCATTCCAGTGTGCCACTGCCCCCAAGGAGTCCTTGGAGTGCACTGTGATTTGTATTTCCCATTTTAATAAAATTGATTTCATATCACCAATCTGCCTTCTTTTAACTTGGACTAATTTGTGTGGGATTGTATATTCTTGGTTCCCATTTTATCATAATCTCTCTTCCATGTTTCCCCTTCATCTCTGAAAGCTCCTTCTCAGTTGCCCTCTCCAACTCTTCTTCATTGACCTCTTCCATAGACACCAGAGCTCTTCAAAGTTAGAACCAAGTCCCTCTTCTCTGGCCTTTCCTTGAGCTTCTCTTGAAGTCATCTTCCTTCATATTCCAGTTCCCTCCTTTCTCATTTTCACTGTGTAGTTCGATCTCCATCTGATGCCTTGAAGTACTTCATACTCCATTTGACCTTGTCTTTCATCACAGTCTCCATCACTCACTTCCTTCTGTTCCTTGGATATGCCAAGCTCCATCTTGCCTCTTGGCTCATGGCTCCAAGTCTTCATAAAAAATGCCATCCTGTCCACTTTTTTTTTTTTTTTAACTAAAAACTATTTCTCTTTAGATTTTTCAAAGGTCACTCCTGATAACCTAATAACCTCACCGTCTCCCAAACCTGGATCTAAATTAAGTGTCTTTGCCACTACATACTCTTCTGGCAACTTCTATTTTCTCTTTAAATAACTTAGCACATTTTGGAATTATCATTTATTTAATTTCACTTGTTTATTGCTTCTGTCTCCCATCAAGCCAGTGGTTCTTATATTTTGCTGTGTTTTACAATTATATAGGAGCTTTTAAATAATACTGGTATATGAACTCCATCTAGACCAAATGAATCACTGAAGGGCAGAGCCCAGACTTCTTCAGGTGATTCTGATGTGCACTGTGAGTTGAATACCATGGCACTAGAAAGGCAGGCCCCTAAAGAACAAGAACCATATATATATATATATATATATATATATTTTTTTTTTTTCTCAGTACCCATCACAGTTTCTGGCTTATCATATTGAAAAATATTTACTGAGTTTTGTGGAATAAATCATTATTAAATTGTCCTAACATTTACTTTTTTGTAGTTCTCCGCCTTCCCTCTACAGACACAGTCCATCCTTTTTGCCTTAGCTCACACCTCTTTCCTCTACTCAGAATGCCTGTTTCCTCCTTCACTTAGTTTACTCCAATTCATTTGTTGAGACTTAGCTCAGACCTCATCTTCTCTAGGAAATCTTACCAGTAACCAGGAGGGACAGGCACCTGCCCTTTATGCCCTACAACAGTTTGTGCTGACTTTGACCACAGCATTTGACACATTATTTTAAAATTATAAAAGTGCCTCTCATCTTTATTCATTGTGTACTCACCAAGGTCTTGGATCATCTTGCATTTTTTGAACTGCTCATCTTTCTTGTTTTTTTTTTTTTGAGATGGAGTTTCACTGTTGTTACCCAGACTGGAGTGCAATGGCATGATCTCGGCTCACCAAAACCTCTGCCTTCTGGGTTCAAGCAATTCTCCTGCCTCAGCCTCCCGAGTAGCTGGGACTACAGGTGCGCACCACCATGCCCAGCTAATTTTTTGTATTTTTAGTAGAGACGGGGTTTCACCTTGTTGACCAGGATGGTCTCGATCTCTTGACCTCATGATCCACCCACCTCGGCCTCCCAAAGTGCTGGGATTACAGGCGTGAGCCACTGTGCCCTTAAATATTGATTATTGAGTTTATCATGGATTTAGTCTCTCATTAATAAATCCCAGGGTCACTATTCCTTTTCTCCCCTATCAAGTTAGTGATCAGAGATATGCAAAAATATTTATCTGAGGGGATGTTCATTTTATTTATGATGGCAAACATTTAAAAATTGATCCTGATGCATCCATAGACTGAAATATCATGCAGCTTTAAAAAATCATATTGTAGATGACTTAATACATAAAATGTTCATATGATATATTGTTACATGACAAAACATATTTTAAAACATATGTACAGTATGATGCCACTTTTATAACACAAGGTCAGTCTATCCATCAGTCAGTATAAAAAGATAGGTCAAAATATATGAATAGTGATTACTGGATGGTGGAATTTATATCCTTATGTTTTTATGTGTTTTCTATTTTAAAATAATGAACGTGTCTTACTTTGTAATCATAAAAAAGCACAGTACAGTTTTAAAAATGTGGCATTGATTATTCACCATTTGGGACAGCAAAATGAAGGTAACTGATATTTTGTCGAAGACATTAAAAAGGCTGAACTACCTATAGCTTCTGTAACTTTTTCCTCCACTTTAAATATTTGAAATTAATGAGCTGTGACAATTGATAATTAACATTTATACAAAGCAGTTTTTCAGATTACCCACACTTCTATCCTATAAGTAATGAAAACCACATTGTCTTGTTCCTTTGTGAAATCTGAGAGCACATTATTGCTGTACAGAGGTATATATCATAATTATTTCTATACTACGGAATTCATCCCAGACAAATTTTGTTTAAACAATGCTCTTGACCTACATCTGAAATCCTCAAATTTATTTATTAGTTGTGCATTTGAAAAATAACATTCACTCACCTTTTTGCAGACAAAGTCACCAGGCAAATAGAGAATGGATTTCAATCTTAGTAACATGTCATAAATCATCTGTGTATCACAACCCTATAGAAAAAGAAAAATAATTCATATAGACACAATGAAAAGGCCAATATTCCAAATGAATTCAAAACTTAATGAAAATAAATAGTAATACACACTGTTTGCATTAGCATAAAAAATTAACTGCCAATGGCTATGGACTTGTCTTGACCCAAAATTTAGAAAAAAATACCTACAGTATAATGGCAAGAATTTAGATCTTGCTCAGATAGGCTTGGGTGTGAATCCTGTCTCTACTACATATTGTTTTGCTACATAACATCTCATGACCTCAGTTTCCTAACCCGTAGGATGGGGATCAAAATGCACTTATAACAAAACTTAACATCGTACGTAATGAGAGCTATTAATGATAATATAATAATAATAGATTATTATTATGTTAGGACCAACATAGATCAAAATCTTTGCCAGATATTTTTCTTTCTTCAGACATGTTTCATACCATTGTTAGATATTATTATTTAACCTTGCAGTCTTGTCTATCCTTCTTCCCCAACTGAATTATCTTCTTAAGGCAGGAAAAATGCACACAATAGATACAAAAACAATATCTGTTGAGTCAATGATTGCTTATGTTCACTTCAATAGTATAAGAAACAAATTTTATTTGTTTGACTATAGGTCTATATCTGTATTCTGTTTAATTAATTACATCTATATGAGCTAAGGAAAAATCTTTAGGTCTACAAAATCTCACTTACATAGTAGTTTTGAATCTTTTGCTTTCATCATATATATATATATTTTAATTTTCTCTCAGAGCTGCTAACATGTAACAGCTTTCCTTTTGTGGGTGGTCCTATCCACCCTTGAGGGAATTACGATTTTGCTGTGAACTAATTATACAGTCAGTGGCAGAGAAAGAAGCAGAAAAGGATCTGCTCCCAATTTGTGGACTGGACAATCATTCCTTTAGCAATCACCAGTTTTCTCTAACAGCTTCAGTAGCAGACACTTGACCCAGATCCATATGAAATTTAGACTTCAGGGTGGCTTGACTGATAAGGCAAGCTAATAATTTATGATTGAACTATCTCCAAGTAGTCATTGGTGAGAAGCATTCAGATGAATGTGGTGTTAGAATTTCAAAAAAATCACTTGAGAAAGTATAGCTTTTAGTTCTCTAAAAGAAAAAAAAGGCCAATGCCAGAAAACATATCTTCTTAATACAGTCTAACCAATACTGATGAGAAGCTGTTTTGAGCAAGGCCTTGTATGATAACCTTGGAGGAATTCAAGAGGAAAGAAAGTAAGTCTAGTTCGGGGGATCTTGTAAGTAAGCAGAAAAGCTGTAATTGATGGTAGAAGATAATCATGTCACAAAACATGCCACAAATATCCATAGAACTTGTAAGGTAAAGAGAGTTAATTTTGCTTGGGAGTGGGATGGGAGAGAGGGGACGCATTAGGAAAGTGCTCATGTGGGTAACTGAATTTGAATCATTTGAGGATGAGGATGACTTGTATTTACAAATATGCACAAAGGCCCTTTTTGGCAGAGGGAAATTTACCTTTCCTTTGCTTATTGTGTATTTGCTTTGCACGCTTAAGTTTCATTTACATTTGTTTTGGTTCTACTATGTCTGATAGGTTACCATATTTGCTAAAGCAAATCACAAACAATTTTTTTTCTGAAAGGCATGGTTCTTTTGTTTTCAGTAAAAATTAAATGAATGGCCCAAGTGCTTAATTTATCTAAATGCTGTCATAATTTCAGAATAATTTTACTTCAGAAATTGGTATTCTGATCCATTTAAAACTCGCTTAGGAAAAGGACAAACAAACTTTGGATTGATTTTCGGATCTTCTCCACTAAGAAAAATTTGTGTCTTTGATATGATAAAGAAAATCCACTTGAAATATGCTTGGAAGTTCTTGAACATGTATATGTCTGGAATATTACTGCAATGAAGGTAACTGTCAATCACTTATATCCATGGAGATTTTCATTGTAAATGATCAGAAATAGAAGATATCAAAAAACCACTTACATTTGTTTTCATATAAATAACATGAATTTTGGCATTATTTTTAAGGTTTTAATTATAATTTGTAAGTCAAAAATGAAATTTTCATTCCTTGAACAATTCCTATCAGAATGTACTTTGATGAAAATTCCCAACTATATTCAGTTGTATTCATGGGAAATATTAATGATTTTAAATGTGATTTTCCTGTGGCAGTAATTATGATTTTAAGTATATATATATAATCTATACATAAAATATATATGTAAATATAATCTATACATATTATATATAATATATGATATATTATGTATAATCATATATATAAAATCAGAATTACTGCCACAGTAATCAGAGTACACACACACACACACACACACACACACACACACACACACAAACATATATGTGTGTGTATGGTAAATTCTTACGATTTTATGTTGCCTTGGCATCAGTTTTGAGTATAAGTTTAACTTTCTCATTCTGGAAGCAGGGATCAGTCACTCTTGACAAGGTTTCCAGTTCTCTACCTCTTCGCAGTTCCTCAATGCGGTTGATCCAGATATCTGCTTTATACCACTGCCTCCTGGTGACCACCTCTCTATGATACAGCTAAATGCAACCTACTAAGATTGCCCCACCGACCCCCAGAGCCCACGTGGACGAGCAGATATTCCACAGTGACTACCTGTCAGTTACAGCAAGACCCCATGGAACTCATGTCTGCTTGCTGTAAACCAACCTGTTAGAACTTCCCCTGGGAAGCCTCCCTGGCTAACACCCAGGATCCCAAAAAGGCTTTGGCTCTCATTCTCTCTCTCTCTCTTCCCACTGGTTGAGCATGAGTCTTCCCCCTTCCCATTGGCCCTTTGAGGTATGCTGCTCTTTTCTCTCTGGGATCTGTAAGTAATAAAAATGCTTCCATTATTTCATGGGTTTTGTTCTGCTGCTTCCTTTGTGTCTCACCTGACTGACATATCCAAACCTAACTACTTTTCCAGTACAGGATTTTCAGAGGGAGTAGCTATCTTACAGGAATAAACTGGACACAGGTCAGACAAAAGCCACAAGGGTGTTGGTCAATATGAACAAATTCCCTTTTAGAGAAACGTCTGTTCATGGTCGGCCATCTAGGCATGAGGTCGTGGACCTGGATCAAGAGTATCCCATGAAAGACACACTGTGAACAGCCACAACTCATTATCTGGAGCTCCGTGAGGACGAGGCTGGAGTTTATGCCCACTCTCTCTCTCGAGAGACCCCAAGATCAAATGAGAGCAAATCATAATGGTGTGGCAGTACAGTCAGCCCCCATATCCATGGATTCCACCTCCACGGATTCAAACAACTGTGGAACTTTAATTTTTATTAATCTTAAATTTTAATAAAATAAAAGCATCTCCCGTTGTGGAGAAGCGTGTTTAATCTTCTTTCCACTTGTGTCCTTTAGGTGGGCTCAGGGGCAGAAAGCACCAGTGAAGGAAATCGGATCAATAGAAAGTGTGAGACCAACCTAGGAGATAAGCCTGAAGATAGATAAGCAAACAATTAGCGCTTTTCTCAGCAAGAATACACACAAGCACTTACATCGATAGCTTTCAGTTGAAGGCTTGGATTTTCTGAGAAAAGCATTTGAACCATTCTAAATATGACTTTTCATTAACAAACTCGGATAGCACATGGATCAAGACACGCAAACGGAATCTAGCAGCTGTATATAGTAAAAACTTAGAATTTAAGTTTCACCAATTAAGTGAGTCTGTCCCCTAGTGATTACCTTATGAAAAGATGCCCGTAGCTTTGGGGCAGCTTTGATTTAGGACTAAATCTTTCTTATTTGAATTTAGGCCTAGTGAAATAAAGTTTGCATTATGAAGTTGTTATAATATTTTATGATGTGTTTGAAAACTATTATCATTCTCTTTTTTCTCTAGAAAGTGATTATTTTCTTGAGATATACATTGCTCCATTATTATGTGATTAAAAAGAATTACATCCCGGGGCTTTTTCTCACGGTAACCCAGCTCCATTTTCTTTACAGTTAGGAAATTTTCTGACGTATGAAAAGTCAGACTGGCTTGCTTTGTAAATGTCTCTTTTTCTATAAAGTGAGAGTAGCTGAGTAAGTATCAGCATTAACATTATATTAGTACATAACATTTGTATTACATTTTGCTATCTTATCTTTATCTGTTAAATTTTTCCAGCCTCCCATTGATGCCTGGCATTAATGAATATATGGTCATCACTCCTGGTTTTTAGATACGGATTGGAGCCCCAGGAAGCTTGTTAATTTTCTCTAAGGTCACATGTGCAGTAGGTATTGGAGGAAGAGTATCACTGGAGTGTGTGTTTTTATTTACACTTTGAGCAATGTGAGATCAAAGTGTTTGCATTATTCGCTCTTGTATCCTCAGTGTCTCACCAGGGTTTAGGTGCTAAATGAAAATGGGCTGACATACAGAATGAAGCTGTTAGGAATGATTTCATTTTGGACAATGAGAAATTCAGTGCTGTATAGGCGTGTTACAGATTTGAATGAGGATATTGGAGATATGAATGGAGTTAAGAGAAATGTTGTTTTAATTCACAACAGAACCATAGGCTAGATGGTGACTCTTGCACCCAGGAAATTCCTCTTTTAATAATGGCAAGCTCTGAATACAACTGTAGAGTTGGTAAAACTAATCCTTGGAATGCGTACCCTCTAACTCTTATGGAATTTCTCCATTTCTAGGCTCATTTCTGCTTTCTTTGAAACAGAACTTAATGTATCATCAGTATTTTATAACTCACTGTGAATTTAAGTCACTCTCAAATATAAACAGTGGTCTTGAGGGCTTTTTCATCTCAGCCTGTTTGTTACAAAAGGACATGCTTTGTTTTATCTTAAACCCCATTCTCATTAAACAAGTAAGGTATAGGTGGTATGACTAGGGCAGGGAATTCTGAATTCAGTTCTTCATGCCATTGACTATGCGAAGCATGCTACTGATTGGTGGCTGTTGGGACCAGCGAAGTTAAGGGCAATAA